CTTTTAAATTATCAGGAACCCCAAGTTCTTTTCCACAGTGCTGCTCTCAGTGAGTTCTTCTCCCGGTCTGTACTGCTATCTGGGATTGCCTGACACAAGTACAACATCTTGTACTTGATCTTGTTAAACCTCGTTAGATTCTTGTGTGCCTGCTTCTTGAGTGTTTCCAGATCTCTCTGGTTGGTGTCTCTTCCTTCTATTATGTCAACCTCACCACTCAGCTTGGTGTCATCAGCAAACTTGCTGAGGGGTACACTCAATCTCTCTATCTGTGTCATTGATGAAGATGTTGAAGAGCACTGATCCCAAGACAGACCTCTGGAGGACACTGCTAGCCACGGTCCTCCACGATCATCCACTAATGACAACAATCCTCTGGCTATGACCATTTAAGCCAATTTTGTATCCACCTAATAGTCCAGCCTTAAAATCCATGTCCTCTCCAATTTAGAGGTGAGAATGTTGTGCAGAAACATGTTAGTGGGCTTGCATAAGTCCAGATAGATGACATCAGTTGCCCTTCCTTTGTCTGCTGGTGCTGTCACTCCATCACAGAATGCCACCACATTGGTCAGGCATGGTCTCCCCTTGGTGAAGCCATGCTGACCATCTCTGATGACTTCCACATGTGTGTTAACATCTCTTCCAGGAGGATCAACTGCATGACCTTCCCTGGCACTGATGTGAGCTTCACTAGCCTGTCATTTCCCAGGTCTTCCTTTCTCCCTTTGTTGAGTATGGAGTGATGGTTTCCTTTTTCCAGACACTGGGGACTTTGCCTGACTGACAGTTTTTCTGCAAGTATGATGGAGAGCAGCTTGCTGGCCATGTCAGCCTTTTCATTCAGAACCCTGGAATGTATGTCATCTGGCCCCATAGACTTGTACACATTCAGCCTCATGAGATGGTCACAGACTTGCTCTGCTCTTACACTGGGATTTTGTCCTGCTAAAGGAGAAGCATGAGAAGCCTGACTGGGCATGAAGACCAAGGCAAAGAACTAAGTACATCAGCTTTCTACATGTCTGAAGAGACCAGTTCTCCCTTTTCATTTATAAGAGGGACTGCGCTCTCTTTTGCCTGTCTCATCTGCCTAATGTATTTAAACAATCCATTGCAAAGTTCCATTCCATCTGCACCTTGACTTTCTTGACTCCATCCCTGCACATCCAGACAGCATCCCTATATTCTTCCTAGGCCACCCATCCCCACTTCCTCTGCTTGTATATTTCTTTTTCCCTTAGTCTGACCAGAAGGCTCTTGTTCAGCCATGTGGGTTTCCTGCCTCATCTCTTCTTCTGGGGGATGGACAGTTCTCATGCTCTCAGAGAGGCATTCTTAAAGTGCTCCCAGCTCTGTTCTGTTCCTTTGTCCCCACAGGATCTTTTCCCACAATTCCTTAAAACAACCTGAATTTTTCTCTCCTGAAGTTCAAGGTCCTGGCTCCACTCTTTGCCAGGCCCACGTTCCTCAAGTTCACAAACTCAATCAGGGCATGATCGCTGCAACCCGGGCTGCTTCTGATCTTAACTTCTTTAATAATCTCTTTTGTGTTGGTGAGCATCAGGTCCAATAGTGTTTCACATTTGGTAGGTCTGTCTAGTACCTGAACTAGAAAGTTGTTGTCCGTGGACTCCAGAAGTCTCTTAGACTACTTGCAGTTCATAGTGGTGTTTTCCTGGCAGATATCCAAGCTGTTGAAATCCCCTACCAGTATGGGAGCCTGCCTCTTGCAGGTAAAACAAGAAGGTCTCATCAGCAGGTTTCCCTTGATGAGGTGACCTGTAGTAGACCTCAACCACCAGATGCCCTTTATTGGGTCAGTCCCTAATTGTAGCCCATAAGCTATCAGCCTATTCATAATTATTTCTCAGGGGCAGCTCTTGGCAGTTCATCCACTTCTTAACACACAGGACAACTCCCTCATCTCTCCTACCTTGCCAATCCCTTTTAAAAGGCTCATACCTCAGTAATGGTATTCCAGTTCTGTGAATCATTGCACCATGTTTCTGTGATAGCAGTAAAATTGTAGTTTTCCAGTTCATCCTGCTTTTTTTCCCCATACTGCTGCATTGCTACAGAGGTACTTTGGCCAGGCTTTCAGCTGCATTACCTTCCATAACGAGTCCTCCCAAAAAGCTCTGGAAAAAATCTGGGGTTTTTCCCTCTTGCTCCCTAAAGCAACAGTGTTCCCTGACTCTTCTCTGTTTCTTAGCAGTACATTTCCTTTGACCCATCAAATCTTGTTTAAAACCCTGGTGATGAGCTTCACCAGCTTGCTGCCTAGTACATTCCTCCTAACATGCAGTAGGTTAGGGGCATCTGACTAGCACCTTGTCCCTTGAACTTAGCTATTCTATCCCACACCTTGCCATGGGTAGGCTTGCTATCACACCTTTCCCCCTTCAAACCAAGTTTAACGACCTTCAGTGAATCCAGCCTGAATTCTTTCCCCAGTGACTTAGGTTGACCCCATCAGCAGCCATGAGGCCAGGTGCCAAGGAAACTGCCCCATGGTTAAAATAATAATAATAATAATAAATTCCTGCGGTAACACCAGCCTCTCAGCCATGTATTTTTTTCAGATGGATTTTCCTGCTCCTCTCAGTATCCCTGCCGCTGAAGGGATAGAGGAGAACACCTACAATGTACTCCTGCTCCATCACAGTCCACTGAAGTCCCTTTTGATGATAGCCCTCAGGCTTTTCTCAGTGACTTCACTTACTGTCAATAAGGGATAATAATCAGAAGGGTGAAATGGACTAAGGTGTCTCCTAGGAATGTCTCTGACCTGGGCCTTAGTGAGGCAGCACACTACATGTAGGAATACAAACGGGATACCCTCCCGTATGGTAGGTATATGGAATACTGTACAGGTTGGGTCTGGCTGATTTATGTCTGGAGGCCTCTATTCACCTCAGAAGGGAATTGTACTTATTTCCTTTTTGTTAGAGGCAATCTTGAGGCATGGAGTTGACCTCCTTGCCTTAGGCAGCCTCTTGGTTGAACCTTCCATAGCATTCTCACTTACCTGTCCCTTGAGTTCCAGAACCTCAAACCTATTGCATAAGGGCACCTGGGAGGGTGAGGTAGGTAGGGAGAATGTTTTCCTGTGATGCCAAAAAGGGACCTGCTTCCATTCCTCCCCATCTCTTAGGTCCTTTGCCTTGACAGTGCAGGGCAGGGGTTCTGCCACTTTTTGGGGTGTATCACTATAGAGCCTTTCTTGTAGATGTGGCAGGGAGTTGCTCTATCAGTCTTATCTCCTGTGCTCATTCCCTGATGCTCCTTAATCTCTCTGCCTCTTCCTTGAGCTCTGCCACCAGGCTGAGAAGATCTTCCACCTGCATGCACCTTATGGTGTCTCTACCATCCTGCGGGGGTAGCAACAGGCTCAGGCACTCCCTGCAGCAGGGACCTGAACCTCAGCGTTTCTGAGCAGGCACTCGGTCTTGGTAGGTTGTTGGTATTCACTTTTGTTGAGCTGACATCTTCTGAAGGGGACGTGTAAATTATTCTGGCACTGCTGCATTAGTATCACGTGGTTTGTTTCGAGGGGTTTTCAAATCCGTCATGCTTTGTCTTTCAGCAATTGTCAGCCAAGCAGAACTTACACTGGTTGCTGGCTGTCCAGCTTTCAAAGGCCAAGATTAGGAGCCTCTGTGCTTTACTGTGTAGAACTGGTGAGCTGCACTGCTGAATGGTTTAGGTAGATATTAACTCAGCAGGCTTCTGTTGTTGTATGGCTCTCGATGCTTTTCTTTCCTTCGTTTTATTGAAGCGGTGGGACTGTGTTGCATCTGGGTGATTTATCTTCTGCTCCACCTCCTCTGCGCACCCAGATGAGTATTTTATAAATGGTATCTTACTTCCTCCATCCTGCTGTCCACAGCAGGACAAAAAGAGATGGATTAAAAGCCATGAACCTCAGTCTCTTGGGCAGTGGCCCTTAGTTTAGCTGCTTTTCACTGATCTTTGTCTCAAGTTTTGCACTTAATGTGTAATTTTTACCTGTTTGTTTAAATACTAAATACTAGATACAATTTAAACTTGATACCGCTTTTCCCTTTCATTTTCACTGTGCAAGAAAGCACATCACTTTGCCAAAATCTGGCTGTGAATGTATGTCTTAGCAAGCTGAATTCCCCTTGCTGCTACAGGACTTGCACTAGCTTCTGAATTGGAACTTCTCATTTGGAAGCTAGAACCTGTAGTGAGTTCTTGTTGGGGAGAAGCTTCTTCCACTTTGAAGTGGAAGCTTTGAAGTCTCTTGGGGAGATATTTGAAAATAGAAGATAGACAGATCCCACTAATGTAGTTTCTGCATTGCAACCAGTGCTCTCAAGGGTCTGCATTGTCTCTGCCCTAGAGTTAAAAACGAGAAAAAATCAGTGCTAAACATAACATTGTGCTGGAGGTTGTCTGTTGCTGCCTCACATGTACGTAACATGTTTCCTTTGTAGAAATACTTCTGTATATCAAAGACCTGTGGCTTTAATGGGTTTATTTGTGAAATAAGATGAGCTAAGGTGAGGTATGGCCACATACTGAGAGAGTGGTGAGGTGCTGGAACAGGGTGCCCAGAGAGGATGCTCCATCCCTGCAGATGTTTAAAGCCAGGTTGGATTGGGCCCTGGACAGTCTGATCTAGTACTTGATTTAGTGGCTGGCGACTCTGCCTTGTGGCATGTTTTCATGAGGAGCCATAGGAAGAACTTGTGTTTATGTAAGATAAAGCAATGCATTGTAGAATTATTTGTTTTCACAAGCGTTTAATGACTGGAATAATTATTTCCATGGAAAAGCAATATTATGAAAACACTTCAGTATATTATTTTATTGCTGTTATAGGAAATGAGGTGCAACTCATTTCATGTTGCAAAAACGTGTAAATAGTTGTGTGAAAAACAATTCCCACTTTCAAAAGTAGGGAGCAATAGTGTTTTTGGACTGCTGATAAATCAGTCTCTCTCTTTCTGTTTCCTGTTTCTCCTTTCTAGGTGCATTTTATCTGGTATTTGAATATATGGACCATGATTTGATGGGACTGCTGGAATCTGGTTTGGTTCATTTTAATGAAAATCATATAAAATCATTTATGAGACAGCTGATGGAGGGTTTGGCCTACTGCCATAAGAAGAACTTTTTGCACAGAGATATAAAATGTTCAAATATTCTACTAAATAATAGGTATGAATAACACTTCTAGTATGTAAATGTTGTATGTTGGGATCATATTTAAATCTTTTTTAATAATCTTTACAGTTCACCTGCTTTAATCCATGAGCCAAAGTTTTTTTATAGATTGCCTAGCTTATTTAGAAATCACTTGTAAAATAATAATCTGGTAATATTTCTGCTTGACACTGGATCTGGCAGTTATCTTTTAAAGTTGTATGTTAAAATAGCAAGGTTAAAACTTGTGCCTGTTAAGTGAGAGTATGGGGAAAAGTTATCTGAGTTCAATACATTAAAACAGAGTTTTAGGAAATATGTTTGTGTATTCATTTTACCATCATTTCAAAATGAAGTGTGGATAGCTGCTTCTTTGTGGCAGAATTTGGAAGTCTTCACCCTTATTAATCAGGATAATACTTTAAAACAATATTTGAGTAGGTATTCTCAATCATGTTTTGGCTTGCAATTACAGCCACTATCAAAGGGAGAGAAGTTTTATAATCACAAGTGGTTAAAAACCAAGAAAACATATTAGTAAACATGCTTTTGTTGAATGTGCAGCAGCAGCAAAAATTAAAATCACAACTGCAATTCACTGTTAGGAAGGATACTGACAGTGAGATGCAGTGCTTTCTTACTGCAGGGTAGAAAGAAGTGTAGAACTTCTGTCTCTGTCTTGAATTCTTATACCTGTATCTCAAAGGAAACAAAATAGAATTGCAGAGTATACATAGGGCAGCTAAAGTTGGTTAAAGAGTAGGAGGAGGAATACTCAAAAAACCAGACTCTTTTAAAGCAGGTGTATGATTGTGGTGTGGAAAATAATGAAGCTAGCACATAACTTTAATACAGAACTCCTGTTCACTACATCCAACTGTATTAAAACTAAGGAGCAACAATAGAAACTAGTATCTTCTTCAGATTTGATAGATATTCTTACCTGTACAGAGCAGGTAGTCAGCTTCTGGGTTGTGCTGACTCAGGAAGCTTTCAGGTTAGTATCATAAGATTCAGAAAAGGACAAGACAAGTTCATGGACGTCATTAAAATCTGCTAAAAGCATTAGACAGGGATCCCTAATTCAGTGGTCCTGGGTGCTTGTTGTGTGGAAGGAAGGTGAGCCTCAAAGCTGGGAAGTTTCACATTCTCCTTAAAAATCTGCTTACGCCATTGTTGGAGATAAAATACTGGGCAAAAATGATCAGACATCTTGTTTAGTAGGGCCCTAGTTCTGTCCCAGTTTTGTCCAAATGGAATTTCCCTTTTTTGTCCTTTTTTAAAAAATTAATATTAGACTGTTTTCAGCTCTGGATGCCACCAACCTTGCAAGACTCTGATATAGACTCTTGAAAAGATGTACACCTGCCTCCACATAGCTCACCTTGCCCATTCACCTGATCTTTCTTGTCTGTTAGTCCAGTGGTGATGCTGTCACTGTGCACGTCTGGGAGCTCAGAAGCTGAGATATAACTTGGAGAAGAGCACGTTACAGTAGAGGCAGTGCTTTCTGCTGTACCATGCTCCCTTGACTCTAGGATAAACTTATTTTCCCCTAGGATATTTTGTGAGTATCTTAGAGATTTCCACTCGAAGAAGAAAAACGTAGTTGATTCATATAATTTTAAGCCAATGCTTCTAAAATCCCATTACCATTACAGCCTGAAAGTGAAAGACATGGATTTTATGTATTTTAGCTATGCAAGTTAAACATATGTACTCAAAAATTGTTTGATATTCTACAAATACAGGATCTGAAGAATAAAAGTACATGTTTTAGGGAAACATTTATTTGCTTTTGGGGCATCACCATGAAGTGTTACAGTAATTTCAGGCATATGGATAAGGGGAAAAAAGAAATACAAACTGTGATCTGTATATTTTGTTATCACAAAACTGTCATTCTCTCACATATCTGCAAGTCTTGATGTAATTTGATGAAATAGCCAAAACTTTAACTTATTTGAAAGTCATAATTACAGGGAAACCAAACTGAAACAAAGAATCCATGTAACATTGCCAAATGTTTTCCATGTATGCAGGTTGCTTTATGTTTAAACCATCCCAGCTTCATAGATGGTAGAGCTTTCTCATCGAGTAGTGAAAGTGTTTGTGGCAAAAGCAAATGAAGAAAGCCAGGCAAAGCTCTGTATCATCCACATTTCCTCTCCTGTATGGGAAAACTCAAGGGCTTAGAGCTTGTATCATTCAGTAAATTGGCTGCTGGCAAAAATAGAAGCCCTTATCTGGTTGGTTATCCTGATTTGAAGGCCATATTTAAGCTTCAGAGGAACAAAACAGTGCTTAGACTTGCTGGAAGGAAGTAGGGTTGCTGCTAGATTTTGTTGTTGTTTTTGCTGTACAAATCCTTATGCTAGCACTACTTCAACTATCAAAGCATCAAAAAATAAAAGAAGTTTTGTCCATCAGTTTTTTTTTTACTGCAGAGTTGTTGGTTTGAATGTTTAACAGCATACACCCTAAATTTTGAGTAGCATACACTGATGTAAATTCCACTTTGTCACTGTATGTAATTTTGCTTGCTTTTCTTTAATAGTGAGTAGGTTAGTGTATTTATTAATTGAAGAGATACGTGATTTGTAAGGCATTTCCTGAAGCTCAGTTGCAGCTGTCTGAAAATCTGAAACTTCAACTAGTTTTAGCAGGGTTAACTCCTAAATAATTCTTTCCTTTTTCCACCAGAGGGCAGATAAAGCTTGCAGATTTTGGGCTTGCGCGGCTGTACAACTCGGAAGAAAGGTAAGATATAATTGTACTGTGAAAAGGCATTGACAGGTATGTCTTCTTTCATAACTCTTGAGTATTATGAGGGCTGAAAAAAACCCTATTTATTTGTCTGGAGATGTTATTGTACTATAACATAAGTAGTGTTACTTAGGAAATTGCAAGAAGTACATGTTATCTCATGCAGCATACAAACACAAAGCTCCCTTTGTTCAAGTGATTGCCCTTCTGACTGTTAGGGTAAATAACTGTAGAAAGGAGCTGTATATTGTTTGGAGATTAAGAGCTGCAGTTTTAAGTAGGTTACATCCTGTAGGCTTTTACTAAATACTTGTAAACTTATGTTCTTTCTGTTGATGTACCTAGGAAAGGTTTATTTAGGAACAGTGACACTTTTATTCTGACATAAATCCATATGCATTTACTGTCTTTTTTTTTTTTTTTAAGCATTACTTTTGTGTAAGATTTAATCTTAAATTTGAAGAGGTTTATTGTATTCTTTAGGCAGTCAGTGCTGTTACATCTGTTGGAAACAGAGATACAAGTTTAAATAAAAGCTATTCTGAAACTTCTTGTGACTTGTGCTTCTGTTGTTCATGGCTTTGTTACAATTGTACTGCAGGAAACAGGTGCACAGCCTTTATAATTAAGAATTTTAATATATATATTGTGGTGTTATGTATTTGTTACTTGGACTGAGATTTTCAAAATCAAGGTTGAATGTTAATTACATCGATACGTACGACGGATGGCTGGATATTGAGAATGTTAGGTATTAAGCTTACTTTGAGTTGTGCATGCCTAATTTGGGAAACTATATCTGCATTATCAGTTTTATGAGTATATTTTCTTACAGACCTCTGACGTTCTTGAATGGAACAGTGTTTTTTTCACTGTCTTCTGAGCTGGTATTTCAGGAACGTATGCTCAAGTAACAATTAGGGAAACTGTTTGGAGTACAGAATTGGGGTTAAGATCATTTTTAGCAGCTGGTAGGCAGTTACCAATAGAACTAGAGGGAATGGTCTCAAGTTATGCCGAGGGAAGTTCAGGTTGGATGTTAGGAAATTTTTTTTCCTCTGGAAGAGTGATCAGAAGCTGGAATGGACTGCCCAGGAGGTGGTTGAGTTACCATTCCTGGAGGTGTTCAAGAAGCCTTTAGATGTTGTCCTAAGGGACATGGTTTAGTGGGAAATACTGGTGGTAGGTGGACAGCTGGACTGGATGATCTTGGAGGTCTTTTCCAATCTTGTTGATTCTATGATTCTAATTCACTTTCATTTTGGATGTACTTATAATTAAAGAGATGATGCCATCCTACTTAGCTGTTTTAATCTTCACCAAGCTGACTTCTTGTTGGTTTACTGTCACTATTTTTAATATCTTTTTAAATTTTGTTGGTCATAGAACTAAATGTTAAGAATTGAAAGACAGCATCCTTATAATGCAAATAAGGTTTTACTGACTGTGAAAACAACATTACCTCATTATAGATAAATTAAACACGACTAAAATGTACTCATTCTAGCTAATAAAATTGCTAATTGAGCTTGGGAAGATTCTTAAAATCTCACTAGTATATTTTTTGCAATTCTTTTGGTGTTCATTTTCCTTCTGACCTGCAGTCACATCAGTACTTGATGTACACCAACAAGCATATAAGTGATGATTAAGCTTGTATATTTTACTTTTGTTTTACTGTTGTTGGGATGACACGCTTTTCAAAAGGTTACAGAGTTTAGTAGGAGCATGATGGAGAGGAAATAAAATTGTAAGTGAATTCCTATCAGTTATTCTAGTTTCTTCTTTAAATGTTATTTTGGAGGCTTTAATATGTTTGGAGTAGAGCTATGACAGATTGTGTGAGAAAACAGCTGTTCAAACAAAAAGGACAATATACTAATATATATATTGAGTGGCTTATCTGTAGAGGAAGTCCATACCATGTAAACATTTTGAAGATGGATGTTTGCTTCAGAGATAAATATATGATGGAACTGCTTCCAAAAAAACACGCTGTATTAATTTTAATAAAACAAAAATAGGGGACTTTATGAAAAAAAACTGGGACAGTTTTGCAGAAATGATACCTGTAGTACTAAGCATGTTGCAAGAGCTTGTAAAAACACTGCGCTTAAAATGCCACTCTGCTTTCTCTTTGGAAGTACTCAGTATTGGTAAACTTGAGATCTTAAAAATATAAGGATGTTTTTTATCACTTTTAAGAACCATCCTACTGTCATCTCATCCCCCCTCTTTAAAAACAAAGCAAAAACTAAATAGAAAACAGCCCAACCCTAACATCTGCTATGACTCCCATTCTGAACTGTTGATGCTCTGTGTTGGCCAGTCCACAGAAAATGCATGTCTAAGATAGTGGAATCCTTGCATTAGTGTGTGGATGGAAAGGATTATTCACAATGACCAGAACTTCTGGTTAAAACTGTAAAGAATTAAAAATGTTGAAACAAAGGAATATATTAGAAATGGTCCAGACTTAGAATTCAAAGTTGTTGAAGGACATAGTTTGAGAGAGAGGCTTTGTTTCTTTCTTTCCAGAGAGGAGAGTGACTGTTCTTCTCCTTTTTAAGTTGTTTGTAGAGATCCTGTGTTCATTATTCTAATAATTAACAGTTGTTGAGAAATCACTTTTTTGTCAAAGCAGATCTTTTTCTGAAATGGCTAGCAGTGTAATAAGTGAACAGTATTGCTTTTAATTATTTGAAATACGGGATTCACTTAACATCAAGATGGCTTGGTGATTACTTGTGTATCTCTGAGGTCTTGTTTCAGACTGTTCTTCAATAGCCTTGGTCAGATGAATGTGTTGCTTTTTTGCATTTGTAACTTTCTAGTTACAAAAAGGAAGACAACGCTGTCCTTAAATAACACCATAGAATTAAACCCCTCAAAATATCACTTTTTTTCAGAAATGAGATTGTAGCAAAATGATAGTCCTCTTTTTTTGCTCCCCCCAACAGCCGACCATATACCAACAAAGTTATTACATTATGGTATCGGCCTCCTGAACTTCTGCTTGGAGAAGAAAGATACACGCCAGCTATCGATGTCTGGAGCTGTGGGTAAGAGTTTGGTACAGAAGTGTAGCAAGCATAACAACAAACCAGCAGAAAATATTTCTGTCAGTCTGTGCTGGAAGCCGTAATGATGAAATTGTACGAAACTGTTTTGCAGCTGCATCCTCGGTGAACTTTTTACAAAAAAGCCAATATTTCAAGCAAATCAAGAACTTGCTCAGCTGGAACTTATAAGGTAACTAGCAGGCACTACAGTATGGTAGGTGCCTGATAAACTGCCAATTTTTTTCATGTTAAAATCAAAGGTAACACACTGCTGACATTTACAAGTACTTCATTATCATCCTGAGTGAGATATTAGTGGTTTTCAGGGGCACATAGAATAAATGTCTTATGCTTGGATGTGGAGAAATGTTTCAAAATGCAGCTGGAGCTTTTCCTAATTACTGTAGTTGTAAAGGAATGTTGTTCCTTTTTAGGACGGCATCACAAATTCCTTACAGCAAATCAAAATGGTCAGTAAGGACAACAGGTTTGGGAGGAGTAGGTGCTTTGTATGCTACTTGCCTTAAGATCTTACATTGATTTTCCCACGTGTGCACCTGGGCTTTAATATTTTCATATATTTCTCTTCCCTTACAAACTGCCAGACACTTTAGGGAGGTGAATATTTTGTTTACTTCATTATCTCAGTAAATTTTAGGATGGCATGTATATAACTCCATGGAACCAGTACATCTTGTTTTCCCCTTTATTTTGCAAACAGAAATTGCTCTTGATTCTGATATCATAGGTGACCTCATAAGTGAGCAGACACCCTCTTCCTAAAAACAAGGAGGAAGGAGGGTGAGTCCTGTAGAACTTACAGAACCAGAAGAGTAAATAGTAAAATTATTTTTAAAATTAAAGTATTTTAAAATGTAAGTTATATATTGAAATGTTTTTTCAAGATAGATTAAATGGCAGCATGCTTCTGTGTAGCTGATGAGGAGAAATAAAGTTTTTAGGAGGTGCAAAACATAGCAGTGATCATTGGTAGAACTAAGTTCTTGATTTTGGAAATCTTTGCTTTTGTCCACTAGATGGCAGTGAGAGTGCAGTCATCAGAAATTTTACCTCCTGGTACAGCAAATCCAGATTTTGAGATTTCTTTCTGCTGGAAGAATGCTGGCAGCTAGCTGCTTGTAGCTATTTTTCCTCTCCGTTTTATTCAGTATTATGCATTTGGAGACTGTTTATGTGTAATATATCAGTTTTATTTTATAATTTTGTACACAATCTCTGTAACTGTCACGTTACAGTCAACAGTTCTGCATTTTATTCTTTCTAGCTTTAATGCTCAAAGATAGAAGTGAAGTAAATTCTGTTAGAAAAAGATAGAATTTATTTTCTTCCTGAAAGTAATGTACTCCAAACATAGGGACATAATTAATTCATACTTAGGTCTCTTGCACAAGCAACTTAAATCAAATAAATGGAAAAGGGTGAACTATGGAAATATATTTCCTTAGCAAGTCGTTCTTTTATTGACTGCCTTCATCAGAGGTCTTAAACATTGCAGGGTAAATTGTCACTCCCATTCTTCTGCTGAGAAGCGTGTTGTTAGGCTCTGCTACCATCTTTGATGGGACAAAACAGGCATGGACAGAGTGGGAGGAGTGAGGCTAAGGACAATTCCATATATGGAGATAGATTAGGCCCAACCACAGAAGACTAATAACTGAAATGAAAAAGTAAAGATAAAAATAAACAAGATTAAGCTGCTAAAAGCTTGCATTTACCCCCAGGGCTTAACTGGTTGGTTGTTTTGTTTTTTCCTCCAAGAGCATCTTTTATGTCAACGAAATTCTTGTTGGTCTTAAAGTTAGTACTTCTTCAGGCCTTTGGTATTTCTTTCTTCGCTGAAATTAGGAGCTAACAGCCCAGCACTCCAGCTCTGGGTTATTGAGTTCTCCAGATCAAATACATGGGGTGGTGTCCAGACATAGTTAGTTGACTTTCAGAATGTAACCTTTTGTGTAGAAGATGCTTTAGAGCAGTTGGGGCACAGAAATAGTGAGTTTTATGAAGTTTAGTCTGTGAAGGGTAGTTACCTTTCCTAGATAATTAACCATCTCTTAATGGTGTTAGACCTTATAGTGTAGAGAAATTTTAGCTAAATGAAACAATGTTAAAATTAGAAAATGAGTTTTGTATCTACTGTACTTCTAAGAATAAAACAACTGCTGTGCACACTTGTGCTTTTGGATCTCATATCTTTCTTTTCCCCTCTTTTTGTACAGCCGAATTTGTGGGAGTCCTTGTCCAGCTGTATGGCCTGATGTTATAAAATTAGCTTATTTCAACACAATGAAACCAAAGAAGCAGTATCGACGAAAACTGAGAGAAGAGTTTGCATTGTAAGGACAAAGGATTAGTTTACTCAATTGTAACATCTTTAAGTGTTGCTGGCATCTTTATGAACTTAATGTATGTTCAGCCAGTTTCTAGAAAACAGTCATGTGTAAAGAAAAATGGCTTTGGATTCCTAGAAGATTCCTGCAGAGCTTGTATTAACCCTTATTTAATAAAGTTTCAAGAAGGGAGAAAGAAGGCCCTAAAATTTCAGCCACCTGTCAGCTTTCACCTAAGGAGACATTTGTTTTCCATGATTGGTACACCTGCTTGCTTACCCTGTCCAAAAAAACAGCTTGCAGTACTTAATTGTTTTTTATTAGGACAACTGGTTACAGCTAAATATGAAGTCTGGTTAATGTTACAGTCTTTTGAGTCATAAATTCATTCAACACAAGGGTTACCTGAACCGTGTATTCTAAAATACTGTGTACCATTGGACCATTTTTTTTTTGCAAATATCACACATGAAAGTTATGGAAAGCAGCTGTAGATTCAATTTAAAGAGATTGTTCCCTTCCTTCATCTGCTTCAGGGTTTAGGATAAATGTATCATCCTGCTTGAACTAATAAGGCTTTCCTAAAGCAGTAGAGTTGTTTTGCTTGGTCCATACAAAATTGCACCTCTCTGTGCACTAAATTCCAAAGTGTCAAGTAACACTATAGTCTGGGCTTCAATTGTGTTGGGTTTTTGGTTTTCTTTTTTTTGTAAGAACAGTATTTCAAGCAAGTCAGCCACATACAGAAACACAACTGCCCACAATCACCCCCACCTCTGCAAAAAACAAAACAAACCCACAACACACTTGGGTTTCTATGTTTACAGAGGTCAGTAAAGATGAACTTTATCTGCCTCTTAAAAGTAAGTCCTGGCTTCATTTTAGATGTTCAGTTATTCTGGAGAGGTGTTCTTATTAAAACTTTGCACTGAGGTATGTGATTCAAAAAACAGTTGATGCTTTTTTCCATTGTGTTCTTTCACAGCATCCCACCAGCTGCATTAGATTTGTTTGATTACATGCTTGCTCTGGATCCCAGCAAGCGCTGCACAGCTGAACAAGCTCTTCAGTGCGAGTTTCTGCGAGATGTGGAACCATCTAAAATGCCTCCCCCAGAGTAAGTCATTTCCATTAGTAACATTCTTTACACCTACAAAGCAGCAACTGACTTCATTAAGCTCACTGTGTTTCAGTTAAAGTAGCTTGTTGTAGAAGAAAACTGTCAATATGTACAGGTGGTGATTCTGTACTGAAGTGCAGTTTAGTGGCTCTTACGTCATGATATCAGCAGCTGTGAGGATCTGAGATGAGTTTGAATTGATGCTCCTGGAATTAGTGACTATTACTGTATCTGTTTATCAGTGTCCATGTTTTCCAAAGGTTTTGGGGCCCCTCATGAACCTGAATTACCTTCTTTGATGGCTTTTTCAGGCAAAGAGGTATGAAATTGCTTCTGACAAGTCTTAGGATGACGCATGAAACATATCAGTCAAATGCCAGTAACAGGAAAAGAATAGTTTACCCCATTCTGAAGGCCAGAGCTTGCTGCAAACTCCCAGAAGGAAGTAATATCTGAATAGAGGTGTTTCTCTCTCAGCTGCCAGCCCTTAAATGAGGTTAGGGAGGGGTGGGCCCAGGATTTTGCTTCCACCTGTGCTCCCAGGGCTAGCAGTGCTTCTTCAGCAGGTGCTCAATCACTGGTTCAGGCTGTGATCTTACAGTTCCCATACAGTGGTAGAATGACATTAGGCACAGAATTCTTTAAAGGTATCTGAGATTTAAAGTAAAATACCATACGTGATTTACTGTGCCAAATGAGATGCCTGGTTTTCCAGAAGTGAAATATTTTTTGTGGCTTTTTATTTGTTTTTTTTCCTCTCCTCTGAATAGAGATGTACTGCAATGTTCAGTAGTTTGGTTGTTTTTTTTTTTACAGTGACTTGATTGTCACTTTAGGCAGTACAAATAGTATTGGAACGAGCTCTGAGTAAAACAATGAAAAACATTTAAAGACTCTGCAAGTTTAACTTTTCCCTTGAGATAGCTGACTAATGACAGAACATTTAAGAGTTTGAATAAATTGTACCTTCAGGGCAGCCTTTGCCTTGAATAATTCTTATTAATTAGTTACCAACTGGAAAAAATATTTCAGCTGTATCTAAGAATTTAATTAAAAATCTTTTAAGACTTACCTGTTACATATAGAAGGTAGTAATGATCTTGATGCATAAGACTGAGTCTCTTTCCATCATCTGAATGTTACTAAACAGCAGTATTAAATATTAAGCTGCTCATTAAAATCTCAGAACCTTGTTGCTAATGAATTTTGAAATAAGAAGAAAATGTTTTCTTCTTTTCAGAGCCTTGGTAGTGCATCTATTCTAGAAACTGATGTAGGAAAATTAAAAGCAAACAAACAAACTGTCCTTTGGTATCCTTTTAAAAATTGACACCAACATTTGTCATAGTGAAATGAAAAAGATGACTCTTCTCAAGAAAGAATAAGGTTCCTCTCTTGGAAGAAACAGCTGCTCATTGCTGATTGCAAGTACTGTAGGATAATTCTTGTAGTTTCTTGATTGATCCAAGCTGTTACTGACTAAATACCTGACAGGTCTTTTGACCTGCTGTTCTGTGGAGAAAGAGAATGTAGAAAGCAACTGTCAAAACTTCTTTTCCAGTTATCATCTGTCACCTCATTTTTTTTCATGTTCCTGGGTGAGAGAACTGCTCAGACAGTTACTACTAATATGTAAAGGGAAAACAGAAGGACCTGTTTTAATGCCATATCTCAGTATTTCCGTAAGCTATGGGATGGGATTCTGTGTTCCTCAAGAGATCTGAAGTGGGATATCTGTAGGGAGGAATAATAATGGGAAGATTGAACTAATGTCCGATGAGTGCTGTAGAAGATATTTTTCCTCTGCTTTGGTCTGTCTTAAAGGACTGGAGGTATCCCTTGTTCTTCCTATCAACCTACATTTGTTAGTGTTGAGTACTGTTTATTCCTGCAACATTTTTTTTTCCCTTTCTTGGTTGCCTGTGCTGTATGGCTGCTAATACTGGATAACCACGTTTGTTACTGTGAACAAATGTAACTGCGTAGACATGGTTCTTCTACGTGCAAGAAAGTGACACTGATTCTCATAGTAAGATGCACATTCCTGTTCTCTGCCAGAGAGACCTGCATTTGTGAAATAGGCAATTGAAAAAGAGATTTTACCCAGGAAAGCATATCTGGCTTCGGATGTTTCCTGATGAATTTCTAAATTCCAGCAGGCTCATCTTTACAAATGCTGTGTTATGCATAATTTGAATATTTATTTTACCACTGTAGTTAAAAAAAAAAAAACATTTTTTAAAAATCTGGGCTAAAACTGATGATCTCTAATCGTTCTTTGCAGCCTTCCTTTGTGGCAGGATTGCCATGAGCTGTGGAGTAAAAAACGCAGAAGACAGAAGCAAATGGGCATGACTGATGATGCAACAGCGACTAAAGTTCCTAGGAAGGATCTGTCTCTAGGCATGGATGAGAGCAGAACCAACACCCCACAAGGCATGCAAACTTCTTCCCAACTCAAAACTCAGGGCAACTCTAGTGTAGCACTTGGTCAGTAATATTTTCGGTTCTTAAAATTACTTTCTACTTGGATTGCACCTCTAGAAATTTTAGGTGTTGTTTTCAGAGTACTGACTGGATTCTTAAGTCTTCTGGATTCTTGAAGGAGGGAACGGTATTGTAAGTTAAATCTTTGTTACAAAAGATTTGCCTTTATTTTTGGGAACTAGGCATTCCTTTTTATTCTTTTTTTTTTTTTTTTAATCTAGCCAGAGCAACTGTCTTGCTTTGTATTTTTGAGGAAGTTTTATCCCTTGTAAGGGATAAAAATATTCTATAATCCCACTAGTCAGTTTGTACTCTAAGTTCATCACAGACTTCATAGATTGAAGGTACTGATGAACTGACCAAAAGGCAGACTTCAAAACAGCCATCACTTCAAATAGAAGAGATTACCTCAGCATGTCACTTTGGCCTTTATTTTTCCAAGCTGTTTGGGCTAACCCAACTTTAAAAAAAAAAAACTAAACAAACAAAAAAAAAACAACAACCACCCAAATAACTTATTAAAAAGTAGTAACTACCTCTGCAGCTTGAGCAGCCATTAATTCAGAAACTTAACTGAAATGTCTTGCTTGGACACTTATGTAGTGAAGAATAATATAAGTAGTAAAGTAATGGTCTCCTTATGTGGAAACCGGTTGAGATGATCAGCACTGAGTAGATACCTGGTAAGTTTAATTTAGACCATTTTTAATTGTGCAAAGTGACCTTAAATCCTATGATACTTACACAGGTGTTGATCAGAAAAACAATAAATGGATTCACGGAGCATGATAGCTCTTGAATATTAGCCATCTTGAATCAACTCTTCATTTAACAGTGGAGCAGAACTCCAAATATACTACACAAAGATAAACGTTAAATATGTACAGATTGTTATTGTTATTTTCATCATGTTTTTACTGCAGTTTATTGCTTCTCGTTCCTATTCATCCTGTTTCTTACTAAGAGTTGATAATAACCTGGCTGTGAGCTTCTGTCACTCACTCTGAGCAGTTTTGGCAGTATTTTCAAAGATGCCTTTCTGCAGCCCTCGCAGTGTTTTCCCCACAAATGCAAACAAACTGAGGCTTAAAGCCCAGAGGACAGCAGTAGTTTTCCTTGTGCTTCTGTAGCAGTTAACATGTTGGCGAGCTGCTGTAATCAGTCATTAAAATGAAACATTAAAAAAAGAAAAAGAAAAAAAAAACTAAAAAAAGAGAAATCTTTCAGAGCTGAGATTCTGCTTACACATAATCAGGTAGAAAAATACATCTAGATGTAAAAGAAGAAAATTTCATTTTCATTGGAGCTTAGACAGTTCAGTATATAGGTGTTTTCTGTATTAAGTAAAGCTCATTCTGATATCCTAATAAACCTTAGTTAAAATCATCCATAAGGCATGCTAAAGGATTAAGTGTACAAATGGAAAATGCATGCTTTAAACAAAACTGTTGCTTTTTGTGTGTGTGTGTGCCAAAAAGAGGTTAAAAATAGATAAATTGCTGATATTCTGCTTCATGAAAGAGAATCCTGGTTATTGTATCTTATAACTTAACAGGAACTGTGTACAGCTCATTCATTTTATTCTGGTAGAAACTGATAGGTTTCCCAGAGTATAGTTTGTTCTTGGAATAGACTTGAAACTAGCCAAAGAGTATGTAACAGGTAGGTTAGTTACCCTTTGGGGCACTTCCTGCTGAATTTGCACACTGACAAGCTGAGAGAAGTTTGAATGTAATTTGTTATCTTCTTGAGCATACCATCCTCAGATGTCACAGAATACAAAATGTTCAGCGTGATGACAGCTGGCTGAGATCCAGCAGTACAAGGCATTAAACAGAATGGTTTTTATTTATTGCTAAACAGAAGATGGTTTTATTTTTGTATTTGGATGTATAAAATCTTTAAATTCCTCAGAACCTTGCAGAGTAGAATCCAAGTGTTTGCATCCTGGTGTACAACCACAAGTAGGGTAATTGGTTGTGGCTTTTGCAGCACTTTTCAGCTGTGCTCTTCTTAGTCTTGCAAGGCAACTATTAATTTTTTGTGTGACTGTTTTTCTCAGATGTGGCTTTGAATCTGCCAGGAATGAATATATTAGTGTATGAGCAGGAGGGCAGAATATGTTCACGTTGACTTGGGTTACAGAAATTCAGAGAAAAACACATCCATTTTAATTTTCACCTTCTTTCTTTTCTAAATCGTCTAGTTGTGGGGCATGCTGCTTCACTTCTTTCAGAATAAACTAACACAGTGATTGCTTGAAATTGAGAAAATACTTCTGTATTCTGACTTCTTTACTTATCTTCCCCCTCATCAGTCTCCTCTTAACTTGTGTCAAATAAACACCATTTTGTTTTATTAAAAAAAAAAAAAAAAAAGAGCGTACCTTACAAACCTTTTTGCTACTCAGTGATAATTGACTTGTCCTTCAAGCTCAGCATTTTGCTTCCTAGCACTGATACTGCTAGCTTCTGGGTCACCTACAGCCTGGTCAATTGAGCAGGTGTTAGAATCCAGATGCTGAATTAGAACAGGCCAGAATGTGACTGGAAATGCGTTTTGCAGATGGCCACTTTTTAACAGAGGGATGTGATATGTCAAAGATAGGAAATTTTGTGGGGATTGGAAATCTTACAGCTGCCTAAAGCAGGTGGCCTTAAGCCCCAGCTTAGTTGTATTGTGGAAAATTGAGCTCCAGCTTGATGTATCTCATCTGTCCAAGTGCATGTGTGTGCCCCTTGGAAGTCACTTTCTTTATATTGGATCTTACTATTCCATTTCCTATAGATACTCCCCCAAAGGCAGTTTATCTGTAAAAGCATTCCGTTTCTGTGTTGTCCAAAACCACGCTTTGCCAGTTGTGACAGCCTTGTTAGATTAGTTTTAATTTTGAGTTTCTGAAATATGAAAATTCTGTATAATTCTTAAAAACACCTTTTTTGTCTTTAGCAAAAACAAGCACTGGACAGCAGTTAAACCAGAATGAAGTGGCAATCCTGCTAAACCTCCTACAGTCTAAAACGAGTGTTAGTTTGGCACAGTTTGCCCAAGTGTTGAATATTAAGGTAAACCCAGAGACTCAGCAGCAACTAAATAAAATAAATCTTCCTGCTGGAATTTTGTCAGCAGGTGAAAAACAGTCAGAACAGCAGCAGCCGCCGCCGCCTCCACCGCCACCACCGGAACAGGAGTCCCTAAAACAGCCGACCGTCACGCAGCCTCCTGTGCCACCTGCTCAGCTGAGTCAGCCCAAAGTGGAAACTGACGCTGCCCAGGCAGCTGTACAGAGTGCATTTGCTGTTCTGTTGTCTCAGTTAATAAAGGCTCAGCAAACAAAACAAAAAGATTTGGTGTTGGAGGAGAAGGAAAACGGATCAGGAAATGAAATGTCGTTACAACTCAGGCAGCCTCCAGAGCCCACCACTCCTGCATCTCTCAGCCGGGACGACATGGAATCTCCAGCACCCGGTTACCCACATCTGATCAAGTCATTATATACTCCTGCAGGTACTGAAGGCTTTTATTGCTAAGCAACAGGTATCTTGAGCTGTGAAGGCAGCTAGTTTGGGGGTAAAGGGTTAACCTCTTAACATTACCAGTCTATGTGAGTACAGGAGAGATTATTACATCGATTTTGTTGCTTCCTTTGTTTGCATTGTGACTGTTCAAGTAGTAGCTGCTGGGTTTGTGGTTTTTTTGTGGCTGGTTGGTTGGTTTGGGGGTTTTTGGTGAGAATGTAAATGCCTGGCTGGACTTTGCGTCTTACTGTAGTAGGTGCCATACTGACTGATTAAAAAATGGTCCTTCTACCAGGTGTGCAGCACCTGTACCTTTTCTCATGAAACAGTTGCATTGATTGTTTTTTATGGCAGCTTGAGTTTTTCTGAGCGGTGCTGGTGTTGGAGAGGACTGGCTCATCTCTGGAATTCATAGCTCAAATCTACCAGTTTTGACTGTGTGTTTAGTTAAAGCCCATTTTGAGGTGCAGGTTGCAGTTTTTGTTCGTTTTATTGCTTGCTTTTTTTTTTTTTCATGCTGAGTAGAGCATTATTATCAATTTCTTAGTGGCAGATTCTGTAGCTGGTTGCCCATAGCTGTCAGTAATGCACATGGCTGAGTGTTTCCATTGGATTATAGTAGCGACTTTCTCAGTCGTCTTGATGTTTGGAGCTCTGTTTTTGGTCATCTTGAACTGCTATTTCAGCTGTTGTGGTTTATTGATGTGTGCAGTGTACAGCTGTTGAAAGAAATATTCTGAAGTGGCTTGGGAGTGGGTTTTGTGCAGCAGGGTGTTAAGGTTTGTTTTTATTTTGCCTTTAACCTTTGCAGTTCTCTGAATCTTCTTTCCATGAAGACCTTTTCTGATACGTGCCATTTGCAAAAATTGCTGGTCACTCTTCCAACTTTCTAGTGTTTATCTGTTGCTTCAGGATTTTTTTTTTTTATTTTTTAAAGGAATGTGCACCTACTTTTCTTAAATTTTGCTTCCACTATGAGGAAAACCTTGTATCACAAGGCAACCGCGCTGTTGCCTACTCCAAAATAACTAGGAGTAAAACTTAACTGATAAGTTGATGAGAACCGAAGTAACGAACCTCTCTAATGTTCTAGGAAAAAGCCCTTTCCGTTCTGGTATTGTTATTGCGTATTTTTATTCCAAAGCTGTTATTTCTCATCTGCATAGGTCAAGAGGACTTGGCTAGGCAGGCCGAGATGAGGCTCCTGAACCGAACGCCGGAACAGGAACGCCCTCGGATCCTGCCTCCAGACCAGCGTCCCCCAGAGCCCCCGGAGCCCCCGCCTCTCACTGACGAAGACCTTGATTATCGGACAGAGAACCAGCATTTGCCTATAAGTAACTCTTCAGGAACAGATCCTCACGCAGGAGTGAAAGCGGCGCTTCTGCAGCTGCTCGCTCAGCATCAAGCTCAGGCAACAACAGAGGAGCCCGTACAGACGAGTGTGGATTACCAGGCTAGAGACTCCTACGTAGCAGGCCCAGACTACAAGGACAACTTTGGATCGTCCACCTTCTCTTCTGCTCACTATGGTGGTAGCGACGGCATAGGAAGCGGGTCATCGGGAGCGCTAGAACGAAGGAGCTTCCTCGGAAACACAGATATTCAGCCTTTGGATAACTACAGTACTGCTTCATCTCACTCGGGAGGTGCCCCTCCTCCGTCTGCCTTTTCAGAGTCCTTTCCCAGCTCAGTAACTGGTTACGGAGACATTTACCTCAACACTGGCCCCATGCTGTTCAGCGGAGATAAAGACCATAGGTTTGAATACAGCCACGGCCCAATCTCAGTCCTGGGGAACAGCAGGGACGCTTCTGTGGGGCCGGAGAGTACTCATTCCTTGCCTACTAAGATGCACAACTATAGCTATGGAAGTAACTTACAGGAAAACCCTGGTGGTGGCATCAGCCACGTGCATGGACAGACCTGGACATCTCCTGCACAAGGACCTGGCTACTCCCAAGGCTATAGGGGGCACATTAGTACATCTGCAGTGAGAGGGCGAGGCAGAGGATTACCATTTTGAGTATCTGTTTTTCCTCAGGCACATCGTTTTTATCTGGAAAAACTTTTTTTTTTTCCTAGCTGCAGTTTAAAGCAGCAATTCAACAGACTTGAATAATATTAATTCAACAGCTTTATTTTTATGTGGAAAAGGGTCTTGCATACAGTAGGAAAAATTAAAAATGCTTAAAACTCATGCTGTCTGAAAAATAGATGAATTGATTGTACATGTTCACAAACTAGTTCTGAATTTTTTTTTGTATTTTGGCAGTTTTAAGTGGATGCTAAATTTAGGGACATCAGCTTTTTATGGCACTCTTTCAGATCTTCTGAACTATGCACATTTGTGCTTTTTTTGTAAGTTTGGACCAACTTTTATGTAAAAAAAAAAAAAGAATTTTACAACAATCAAAGCAGGGCACTGATTTATTTGGTATTTTTCTTTTTACAGAACTACCTTTAGTCAAAGGTCACTGTCAGTCATTGCACTGCTTTCAGTGTTATTGTGGAAGGCGTACTTTGTGCTCATTTCAGATAATAAAACACAACCTTTCTCTTGATGCAAAATTTTATAAATATTTGGTCGATGTTAATTTTTTTTCTTTCCAAAAAAAAGAAAAAAAAAAAAAGAAAAGAAAAGAAAAAAAGAATGGATGTTCTGGTAAAATGTTCTCTCCATCTCCCGGGCTTGTTTATATATAAACTGTTTTACTTGAATGGTAAGTGCCTTAACACGTAAGCTTAAGGTCTGCAAAAGTTGGAAGTACTCTATAAATCAATGCTAAAGTAATACTGAAACCTAGATAGTTAACAAGAAAATCCGATAATAATAGAAAACTCAAATAGGTCATGACTTCGTGTTGTTTACTTCATGTGGACCAGTTATTTAGACACCTAATCTTATCTTGATCAAGTCATAATTTCCAAATTGAACTTGGTAAGAAAAGTGAGAAGAGTGAAGAGCGCAGTTTTTCCTCAGCTCCTCTTTGGAGCTGTAGTAATTGATTTACTTCCTCTGCCAAATAAACTGTGCTTTTTATGTCCTTTCCAAGTGGTGAAAAAATTTTTCCTCTTAAATGTCAACAGCAGTAATTACTGTATGTGAAAAGCTGACGCTATCTCCTTATTATGACAACTGCTGCATTACGGGAAGTAAACAAAGGACAAATGACCAGTATTTAAAGCAGACGTTTTACGCTAGTTCTAATTCTGTAAACTCTTGATTGTGCCAACTAATCGTCCTTGTATCTGCTATTCCACCCAGTATTCTAGTGTCGGAATCGAGTCTCTCTGAACAACAGATAAAATAACTGTAGTTAAAACTCGTAATTAACCAAGAGCCACTCCTCAATAATCATAACATCGAGCATGTTTTTTTTTCCTGTGATGACAAGTGGTCCCTCTCCTGCAGAGAGGAGGTATGGTTATATTTTGCATGTACGTAAAAGAATGTTTTTAAAGCCCATATTGGAAACAATTTTCCAACTGATTATCCAGTTGACAAATCGGTACCTTATGTAACTGAGTGTTTAATTATTACTTTTTAAAAAGTAAAATTTCTACTTACACTATTTCAAATGTAGTCTTGTCAGTGACTTTTTGGACTTTCAGAATAGAAGCCAAAGTTGTCGATGTTTTGTTTTAATTTTAAAAATCCTTGGTTCTTGTTGATGGCCAAGTACCACGTTGCAGAGCACGGAGAAAGTCACTGTGCTGACTGTGTGGATTGAGGATCTGGCAGATGGGAGATGGAGATGTCCCTGTAAGCCCGGCAGCTGCCTTCACTAGGCACAGAAGGGAATCCTGCCCTCTGAGAACAAAATCAGCCTGGTCAGTCAGGAACAAACGCTTGTGGCCGCGTGCTTTAGGAAAACCACAGCTTGACAGTGCACGAGGTAGGTTGGTTTCCTTGAGTAAGGACACCTCAGTAACATTTTTCTGCTAGTTGAATTTTAAAGGCTGAAATCAGTATTCTCATTTAGGTACGGACAGCGTCAGCTGAGGCTTTTTTGTTTACTAATGGATAGAAAAAAAAATTCCCAAGAGGTTCAGACAGTTGTTTGGTTGTTTTTTTGTTTTTTTTTTTTTGAGTTAAGCAAGACTTTTAAAGCTCTTAGGCCTTTGTTTTCACTGAAAATGTGCAGCCTAGTGTTACTCTACTGCACTTCCAATGTAAATTGGAAAAAAACATAAAAGCAGGCAAGTTCAAATGGAAGGTAGATTTCAAGGAGGACTACGTGGTTTGACTTTCAGTACAAAAATGTAAGGCAGTTGCAGTGTCCCGCATCCTTCCTGGAGGTAAAGATTAGGTTACTTTAGTTCATCTAATGCAGAGCTGTCAGTCTGTAAGTGGAGGGCAGGCAGTGCAGCACCACCGCTGGCTGGCATCGCTCTGCTGCCACGTCGTTCTGCTGAGATGGATTTTGGTCTTCAGATGTAAAAGCAAAGCCAACACAAGTAGCTGTGGCTGTGATGGATACAAAGGAGATGGAGTAGACAGCCGGCTTCCAGATGGATCTAAACCAAATCTTGTACACTGTTGCAGATGCGTATTTCCCCAAATTCAGTTTAAGGATAACTAGCCTGTGACCGAAGATGTTTGCTTGGGACAGCAGTGCTGGTGTAGCACGGGGGGAGGCAGTCAGCATGGGGTGATGGCTGAGCAAGAAGGCTGCTGCCTTCTTTGCAGCCCGGGGATCTGCCTGGCTCCCCCTGCTCTGAGCCTGGTCTAGCAGTTTGCCAGGCCCGAGGGCTGCCCACCTTTGGCTGTGCTGGCCCTGTGTGTGATTTCTCAACATTTCTTTTCTGTACCATATTAAGAGGTGCTTACATCCGTTGAGAATTTGAACCTTTTGAACAAACTTCACTTAGCAGAGTGAGTCAGTGCTAGTGCAACATGTGGCTTCGCGTGGCCGTTGCGTTGCTGCCGCAGTAGCAGGCGTTCTGAAAAGCCGTGTGATTTTTTTCTGTGGAGCCATGGCTTTGGTTATACTTCCCACCTTCCTTTGGGGTTTACATTTTCTGTGCTGCAATTCCAAAGTGTGCTACAGAGACCTGGACACCACATCGAAAAGTAAGTGTTGTGTGTTTGTGTTTCTAAAACATAGCAAAGTACTGTAACCATGGACCGTGGAGTAGCAAGTGTTCATTATTTATACTGAGCGGTCGGTAGCCATACCAAGAGGAGAAACGTGAGCACGACTGGACTGCTGTGGATGTGACTTAAGATGCTTAGAGTATTAGAACACTTAAAATCAGCCAAAGGAAAAGGAACTGACTTCTATTGTGGATTGCTAGCTGTTACCTGAAACGGAACGGTGTTCGGGAAGGGGTGTAAAAATACATGTCTTTAAATGTTAATATAATTCCCTGGGGAGGTGGGCGGAAATTAAATGGCAAATTTCTGTATTTTCTTATGTTTCCACAAAACAGTCTTATGTTGAATTTTCCTCTTGCTGCGGCAGTGTGAAAGCAGAGGTGCCGAGTGCTGCAGTGTTGAGCTCTGCAGGGTTTGGAGCTCTGCCCTTCTGCTGGTCCCTGCTGCAGGCAGCTTCTGGTGTGGTGCAGTTGCACTGGGATCTGTTTGGTCACAGTGAGAATACAGGATACCTCTCGTCCGTGTGCAAATTGGATCTCAGACCATGAATTCTGTTTCCGAGAGAGGAAATCTCATGTATTTCTTGCATTCTCTTAGTTAATGAAACACACAAGCATTTTACATGCAGCATTTCTCCAGTCTGTTGTTAGAGGATTTGTATAGGAGGAAATTTGGCTGTTTCCCTTCTTGATGGTTGTGGGATGTTCTTCATACATGAGTGTGTTAAGAAGATAAAGAATCACAGAAAAAGTGATATGAATTCTGTATTTAAAAAATGAAATGACCTTGGGTTAAAGTCGAACTAACTTTTGCTTATCAGGGTGAAGAATACTTTATTGCAGGAGTTATTTCAAGACAACATAATTTAAAATAATCAAACTGTTATGCTTCAGCTTGCTTACCCTTCGTTATTTTAAGCCATTTGTATATAAATGTATCGTGTGGCTTGTAAATAAAACACATGAAAACTTGAAGTCTCTCATTGTTTTTCCTCTTCGGTTCTCAAAGGGAATTTTAAGAGAGCTTTGGATTAATTACTTTTTCCAGATCCGTGGGAATATGATTTCTCAGTACGTGAAAATGTCGTTAGTTCTTCAAACAAACATTTACTTCTCCGCTGCCTTTTGAAGGAGAACTGCAGATGCTCACTGCTGGAGCCGGGCTCCTGGGCAGCGCGTGGTTTGCAGTGGTGTTGCAAGCGTGGCCGCATGCTGGGGTGCAATTCAGAGGGTGAGTGGGAGGGTGCTGCAGCTTCAACAGTCTCCTACCTGAGCGTTTGTAGGGCATTCATTGCTAGTGCCAGCCAAGCAGAAACACGGTTGCTGTTCTCCCCCTCTCCAGCTCCATAAAGAGGCTGGTGTGCACGCTAAAGAGTGGGGATCAGAAAGAAAGGGAACAGGTATTTTCAGGGTCTGGTGATGCACTGTTGCTGCTGGGGCAGCGGTTGTGCTGTGAGTGCCTGCTTTGTTTTCCTGCTGTATCAGCTTTTTCCCACAAATGCTGTGTTTTCATCCAAAGCCAAGCCTCTTGCTGTACCTTCCGCACCGTTAGCTGCAGGCTGAGCAGGAGGCTGCTGCCTTTCACCAGCAACTTGTTGATAAAAGCCCCATAGAGAGGGTGAAGGGGAAGTTGCAGGTCAGTGCTGGTCATGCTGATGTTAGGCTGACAGAACGTCTAGCAGTGGGCAAAAGGATCTTCATTTCTGACAGTAAATATATTGGCAGCAGCTCTAAGAACAGCCTGGGCTGTTCTTCAGGCAGGCAGCTCGTTACACAAGTGGTGACCTGCAGACAGCAGATCAGATGGGTGCATGACATGGGCTGTGCAAAGGGCAACAGGAATCATCCCAGCTGGATCTGTGTGAGTCAACCTTCTAAAATCTGCAGCAAATGAGAGAGGAGGGGCAGAAATGGCTGCAGTACCACAGCCTGCATCAACACGCAAGGACCGCATCTGCAAAGTCAGTGGCAAAAAACAGGAGAAAAAGTATTCCATCTTGCAGCCCGTGCTATTAAATGAGATGAAACACGATTCGGCCGCTTCTATTTGTAAGGCATCCAGCAGAAGGGATTACATCCACCAGCTCCCCATTGCATGGGGAAGTCAGAGCTCCCAGCAGCTGCAGCAAACAAGCGGAGAGAGAATTTGGTTTGACAAACAAGAGCTGCTTCCTTTTCCCAGCTGACTGCAATTACCTCCATGGTGCTGGAGGGCTCTCCTTTGAGCCCCCTGCGTGTTGTGTCTGCTTAGTTCAGCCTCTTTTTATTGCCCGCAGAAGGAGCTTGCCATCAGTGTGATTTAACTTGGAAAGAAATTTTGAGTCTACTGCAATTTTTCACTTTCTTCAGGTATAACAGCACCTTGTTAATAAGCAATACTCTGATCACTTTTCACAGCTCGGTTTCAATTCTGCAGAAACAGTTCCTCCGAGGGCACTTGGGATGTGCTGCTGCTGTGGGGAATCCTCATGGTATGATGAATGGGTCTCTCGCACGGCCTCTTTCAAAGAGGATGTGCTAAAACTTCTTCAACACTAGGGAATACGGTGTGGGGGAGATGTAAAAGGGCTGTTGTTGCTTTTGTTTGTTTTTCTCCAGCTTTGTGCAAATTTGGGGTGTCAGCTCCCCCATGAGAATTCCCTTGCTGTCCCCCCCATGCATGTTGGGTTTTTGAGCTCCCTGCACTTGCAGCCCTGCCAGGGTGGGCACAATGCAATGGGTGGAACCTCTCCCTCATCCTATCCCTCACAGCTGAATTTAATGGCTTGTGCTAAAGTTTGTAATGGTTGTTGGTTTTCTCCTCTCCAAAGAGCGGTGGCAGGGAGATGCCCCTTATGCTGGTAAGTTTCTGGAGATAGGAATTCATGCACCTGTCCTCTGGGCTTCTTCTCTAAATTAAGAATAATAAGGCCTAAGCCAAAAAAAAAAAAAACCCTTTCAATAAATGACCATAAATTGAGCCATCAGAATGGCCCAGCCCCGTGGCAAAGTTTCCTGCTGCATTGCATCTGTTCTCCAAAGTCCTTTCTCTTCTCCCAGGTAATCCAGTAGCTGTGTTGGTGATCTAAAAATACTGACAGGCATTTTTTTTTCCCCTTGGTCTTGTTTCAAATTGTTTGATGTAGCAGATTATGGAGAAGAAAGTGTATGAAGGGGTCTTAGAGCTGCATGGCAAACTCTTGCCTTGGACCTGCATCCCTGCTGGGAGCCCCATGGAGCCAGGAGGGAGGAGGGAGCTGGCCAGGCTCTGTGCTGTGCAGGGCAACGTCTGCCAGAGCAGAGCAGGGAACGTGCTTAATGCTGGAACCTCAGAGCATCTTCCAGTGAAATGCAAGGGAAGTGCATTCATCCACACGTGTAAGGCCAAAAGTTGCCCTGAAAAAATCAAGACCATCTTTTCTATTCGTCTTTTTTTACAGTGACCCACTTTAGTCTCTACAAGACGAAGCACATGGCTGGCACTTCATCCAACAAGAATCTCTCGTATACCTTTTTTCTCCCCTTCTTGCCAGTCTGAGCCCTGACTTGCTGTAGAAGTCCTCCTTGTAGGGAGTGGAGGCAGATCTGGTAAATGAAAAATCACTACATGAGAAACTGGTACAAACCAAGCGCGGCGGTTCCCCTACACATAAGGGCTCCTTCAGAGGTGGAGCCCAGGTGTCCTTGGGGTGGTGGCAGCTACAGGAGTTACTTGTTTGGGAATCTGGGCTATGGGACTTGTCTGAGGTCACACTGAGTGTCTGCAGCTGATGAAGAGTGGGATTGGGTTGTCCCATGGTTCTGCCTGGGTTACAACACATTGCACAATGGTGAGCAAAGGGATGTTCCAGTTTGTGTAGCACCAGTGTCTTTCTCTGCACTTAAGCTCCGAGGTGAGATAACACGGAGGTCCTCTTCCTTGCAGAGCCAAAGGAAGCTCTGAATTTCTGGAGGAGATTCTTGTCCAGAAACATCACTATTCCCATGCATTAATAATAGATAATAATGTAAAAAGCAAAGATTGTTGCGTAACAACTTAAAATCCAGTATCACTGACGTCGCCATATTCATCTTTTTTTTTTTTTCCTTCTGGAGAAAACAATAATTTTGTTGTCTTCCCCAGTGTTCCTTGGCTGCCCCTGTGCCAATGGAGGTGGGCTGCTTGCAGGGCCAGCGCTGCGGGGAGGTGGGGCTGCTGCCTCTGCTGCCCTGCACCACTGCTTGGTGTTCATAGCTTGTGACTTCCCCATTAAGCAAGCTGTTGCAATGAGCTGCAGTGAGCTGTCAGACTGTCTGCCTTCCATCCTGCTACTGAAGAACAATTGTAAAAATGTATTTATTAATTGGTGACTACTGTTCATCGCTGGGGGAAAAATCAGGCTAAGAAGTACAGCAGACGTGGGAAGTGAACAGAAAACTATTACTGGTGTATAGGAGAAGGGGGTAGCAAATACTAATTAAAAACTGATCCGCAGGTGGTCTGGTGGCTCCACACCAGGAAGGTATCACTGTAAGCCTGGCAGGCTTTGTTAGGAGCTGCGAATGCTTTTCTCCACACCTTGTTTCTCGTTACAGATTGCAGATCCTGCTGTGTGACTTCCCCACGAGCACATGCAGTTACACAGGATAGTGAAAGAAGACGTGCACGAAGCAGTAAGAATTTTTATTTGCACACTGCAGTTGCAATTACAACATTGCCTTTTGGGCACAATGACAAAAAAAAAAAAAAATCCCATAGAATTCTGCAGACCTGGTCTGTCATAAACACAAGTCTATTTCAGCTTATACCGTGAGATAAACCAGAGATGGCTTTCTCTTTCAGCTGATCTCATGGCAGACTCTTCATTTATTTTTTTTTTTTTTTCCTTCTAAACCAGCTTTAACCATGGGGATGTCAGTGACCTCCTTCTGCTTTTATTGCCACACCTGTTATTTGTTGTAGATTACAAACATCGCTCCCTTGCAGCCTCTCAACTCTTCTGTTTCATACAATTCATTTAAGTATGGATTCTTGTACAATATGGGATTTATAGGAAAAGAATTCTGAGGAGCCATATCGTGTCACAGTATGCAGTCAGTAGGCCTGTAAGTAAATCTTTTTTCAATTATTTTTCTTTCTTAAAGCAATGTTTATTTAAAAACATTTGCTGCTCTTTCTGAAACAATATGAATGAAAAAGAGATGTTTGAGAAAATGTCAGCATTTCAAAGAAGCCTTGATTTTCACCAAACGATTTTGGTGAAACTGGTATGACTGCCTAGAACGTGTGTTCCTTTTGGATTTGCCTTGGGAGAGGAGCAACCAGCACCCAACAGTTGGTGGTGGTTTAGTTGTGATCATCTATTACTTCCACAGAATTGAAAAGAAAAAGGGACTGGTTACACTGACAAGCTAAAACATTTTCAGACATCCTTTGTGACAACCTTGTGGAGGTGAAGATGAAGTTCAGTTGAATATGCAGAACAACACTGAGTTGAGATGTCACTGACCCAACCTGAAGGAGTCTGTTTCCAGGTGTATTTCGAGTGAGAACAATATCCAGGACTGCTTCTGCTCTTTGCAAAGGAAATAAAAGAACAACCTTTACCAATGTAACAAGGCAAACCCAGCATGGAGGATGCAGAAGCGTGCGCTTTGCTGCTCACTGGCCATTTAATGGGAGAATTCTGCTTGAGTTCCAGTGGAGCCATTGCTTGCATGACACTGCTGAAGGATTTCAGAGGACAGGAGAAAAACCAACAGCAGCTACTCCCCTGGACACCAGCAGCATCACATTTACAAGCAGTCAGACCCAGGAAACTGGATTTTTGTGAAGAGCATGCTTCAAACCATGCTGGAAAAGCTGGCAGCTGCTGCTGCTCTGCAGAGCAGTTCTAAAACCATTTATAAGTGGGAAAGAAAAAGTTGCAGGTTGACATTAACTGTTCTGAAATCAGTCAGAAAAAAAAACCAAACAAGAAATCAGGTTTGTAATGGTTGCGTTGTGTACGCAGTGTGAAAGGCCCACATCATACAATGTATGTTGTTAGAATATTGCATTCAGCGCTTCAGGAGTTCAGGCACTACTAATGATGCATTACTGTTTTTGAACTTGATTTTTTAATTTATTTTATTTTATTTTTTGGTAGTTTTTAGAAAGCAAAATACATTTTAAAAGATGTAATTATTACACTGCTAGTTCTATGCTCTAGAAAGAGATCGTGGCACTAAGTTTCCTGCCAAAACAAACACCTCACCAACCAACCAAGCAAAACACCAACAAACTTGAAGACTTGAAACCACAACCTATGGATTCTTTTTCTCTTCTGTAATACACTGCATAGAAGGCTTACTACACTACACCATGTTTAGGAATACTGTCATGTTTTGGTGTCTGAGTCCTAAAGCAGAAAAGCAGAAGAACATTTGTCTCCAGGAAACGAGGAAGCAGGCGCTTGGCTGGATTATGCAGCCATCAGCTGCACCAAAGGTACTGGTCATAAAAATAATTATAAAAGACTCATTAAATTAATGGCTAATAGAGCTAAAAACTGGTTTACCCATGATAATTGCTTGAGAATCTCCCTCTGGAAAGAGGTACACTTCTGATCATGGCATAAATCTTTTCCATTTGCAGTGAAATTCAACAACACAAGTATCCCTCTGTAGCTCTTTGGAGACTGTGACCTCCATTTCTATAGCACTGTGCACTCAAATGCAGACTGTTGTATTGGTGTGAAATTGTTCCTGCCGTCATTGCAGATTTTACATTACACAGAAGACAAAATCCAACCCTCTGTTAAACTCAGAAGGCATTCCCATTTTTCAGTGAGAGAATGTCCCTTTTGAATAGATTTTTTAAAAAGCAACTAAATTCTGCTTATAAATAGAAGTGTGTACTTTGGCATAGAAATTCAGCTCTCCTCGATCCAGTGATTTATACAAATATATGGATTGTCTGTGAAATCACTGGAGATTCTCAACCATTCCAAAACTTACAATCCAACAGCCTAGGAAGGAGATTTCTTTTCTTTTGTTAAAAATCATGTTTTTGCGTCTACTTGCATTCAAATCTGAAAGGTACTTAGGAAAATGAAAGTAGCTTTGCAGACTTAAATCAGAATCTGGAACATTTTAATGACCAGTCATAGCACAGATGCTCAGAGCATCATTTCCAGTTGGTGTGAGTTGGAAAGCACAGTCCTTCTCTGCTGGTGCATCTCCTCCTGGGATGTGTGCATCTGAAACCTGCTCTGGAAGCTCTTCTTGGTTAACAAGTTTAGGGAATGGAAGGAGGGATGAATTAAAACACTTGATCCTTTTGTCATTAAGCAGTGCTTATGCTTAGCAAGAGGAGGTGTCTTTGTTATAATTTGATTCCAATACTTGTGTGTTGGTTAACTTCACACTAAAAGCAACATTGCTAGGACAAATTTCTATATGGAGGGCTAGAAGGGTCTAAGGCTATTTCTAGAACTGTGCCCCATTTCTCTGCTTGCACTCATCATTCACAGTGGCCTGTCTGGAATGACACAGTGGCAAAATAACTGAGTGCTGACTTCTAAATCAGATAAAAAGGGATTGTTTGCATTTTCTCACAAAGAACAAGTGATGGAGAGGTGCAGACTTCCACCAAAATATATTTTGTCTTGAAATCCTTTTCTCTTTTTCATGTAATGTCTCTAGTTTAATGATCTTTGTACCTTAGATTTATTATGCTCCACAATTTCCCTTCCACACTTATCAAAGATTGGACAACGTTGTCCACTTTTTACAAGACAAGCATTTGAGTTTGGTACTATATTCTAGAAGTGTGAGCTGTACCATTAGGTTCACAGAAGGATTATAGAGTCATGACATAGAGTTACTTAAGTCAGTTTCTCTAATCCAGTTTGTGGATTTTTGGGAGCAAGAAGGGACAGCAGAAGGTGGTCCACCACCACCTCTGTGGCTGCAGGGAGGTTTTTCATTGCCATGGGTTTAAAAGCAGGAAGGACAGAGTGGCAGGAGTTGCAGGACACTGCCACCCTGAGATCTCTCTTTATCCTGGCTGGAGAGGAATATGTTATAATAAAGCTACAAACTGTTTTAGCTCTTTATGCCTGGTGGACAAGGAGGGCCAATGCTGCTTTTCAAGGCCTTGATGTATGGGAGACAGCAAGGATGGGGTGGCTAGTGTGTGAAATTATGTGGGTTTTTATGTGGAGCGTTTGGGATATTGACAAAGGTGCTATTCTACTAGATGCTATTCTAACCATTGCATGAAGAAATGAGGGAACAACGAGGAACACTAAGCACCTACCTTCCTATTTTAGTGCAATTAAATGTAAGGTCACACATAAACGCTTACAAAACAAGAGGCAAGAAGCTGGAGGTGAAAAGGAGCAACTGTTGCCTTCCAGTGAGGCTGAAGCTAAGGTTAACATGATCCACAGGCTGAGGACTGTTAATCAGTAGGACTGCAGTGTCTGTAATGAGATCACTACTTTAAAACACAACATAAAGCTCCCGAAAACAGAAACAATTACAGCAGGCCCTAATGTGACGTTAGTGGCTGTGTTTAACGGCTGCAGACAATATTCAAATGCCATTTGATCACCTATCTTTAATATAAATTTGATGCGTGATTCTTTAATGCTATATAAAAATGTAAATCATCATCATTGATGGAAGCTAGTATTAGATAAAGCCAGCCCAGACAGAAAGCAGATTTTAAAGCAACAGGTTAGTCTTGGGATCAACTTCAACTGACAGATGTCAACATGAGTGCCTTCTGAATTCTTTAAATATCAGAGACCTTTCTAATGATGGTGTTTTATGGCCTGATTTAAGTGAAGTTGTTGGTTTGGTGCAGAAGTTGTTGGGTGATGTTTACACCTTCCATTATGCAGGATGTCAGGATAAATACTTCATTCTGGCACCGAATGATGGACAGACAGTGTGATTTGGGATTTGATGAAATCTATGTATAGCTGACTAGGCAAATAAGAACAGTATTCAGTTTTATTTGGTGTAATCCAGGTTTTAATGAAAAGATCTGTAATCTGCATCTCTTAACAAGTTAGCATCACCAAAGCTATTAATTTCACCTATCTTTGGTACTCAGTAGGCATGACTTTTGCTTGGTACCTAAAAAGCTTTTTGTCTTTACCTCTTTGAAAGATGCTTAGAATTTTGACTTAGTTAAAAAGAAAAAATAGGGAGAGGGAGGAGGGAAAAACAAACAACAACCAAAGAGGGTCTGCTTGACCTCAGGACAAAGGTAGTGAAGCAAGAGCCTGAAAAGAATGTGCAGGAAGTAAAAAGGAAGAGGATGCAGGCAGATTACAGATGGAAGTGCCTTTGCTGATCGTCTTCCAACTGAAGTTGCAATTTAATATTATTACTAGTGAGGTGACTGACAGCTTCTGTTGTGAAATTTGCTTTTGGAAAAGCTCACTTGAGTTAGCTTTCCCCTTTCAGACATCAGTAAGTGCAGTCTTAAAAACACTTTAAACTATTCAAGCTGTGATTTGAAAGCAGTTGGAGGAACTGCTTTGTTGGCAGAACTATGGAACAGTGGTAATCAGTCCGGCACAAACAAGTCTGTGTGGTACAGATAGCTGTGAGAAGGGTAACTTAGGAATTGCTTAAGTCACAAAAGAGTTTAAGTGTCCTAAGATCGGAGCAAAAGAGAGAAATATGTGCGTGAAATGGAGCGCCAGCTGAGGAAAGAAAATAGAAATGGCTGGTGGAAAGAGAATGTGGAGAAAAGGGGAAGCACGTTGTGAAGCCTGTGAAGAAGCAGAAAAATGAATGCAGGTCTTAATATCTTTCTTGAGCTTTCTACTCCTTGATGTCACTTACAAGGAGAGGTGCAACACACTGCGGACTTCTGCTTTCTGCTGAAACAACTGAGTGAGGCTGATGCTGAACCTCAAGGGGAACAAAGAATGTGCTTTTAAGGAGCCAGTCTTACACTAGAGGACCCCCTTTGCCAAGAGGTGCTGGAGAGGGAAATCTGCTGTGCTGAAGATCTTCCCCAGGCCTGTAAGTAACCCCAGAAATTGAACTATATTTGTTTTTGGATTCTTACATAGCAACAGCCTGACTGCTAGTAAAGGTACACACTCTCATTAGATGTATTTCTGCTGTTTTTCTGTGATACATCAGTACAGTTAGAATGAAACCAGAAACCAGCTTTTTCCGTCCGCAACATTGGAAAGTTTACAAGACAGAGGAAAATTGCTTTGTAGCTCATCTTCTAGCAATTTAAAAGCTTCTGAAATAGAATTTTGTACTGAACTAACTGCAATTGGACTAAAGCTGAATGTTCTTTTTTTAATTTGCAGTAAATGATATATACTGAAAAGTCCCTGTGCACACGGGGACTTTTTTTTTCTTTTTTGCTTAAAACTCACTTCTCTCTGAAGCACACATCTGCTTTCTTGTCATTCATGGACTGAAAATAGTGTGCTCTGGGGCTGCTGAAGAGAGACAGTACCTCATTGTACACTTTCATGAGGTAGTTTTCTCCCCTTCTTCCCTCCAGCTTTGACTCCCATCGAGGATTTACTATTTCAGTATACATATATATGCTGAGTTTGGGGTGTATTTGGCTACGTATGTGTGCGTGTGTCCAGCATAATAAAGGACGTGGACCTGTTGGAGCAAGTTCAGAAAAGGGCCCCAAGGATGATCAGAGGGCTGCCTATGGAGACAGGATGAGAGAGCTGGGTTTGTTTAGCCCAGAAAAAGAGAAAGCTCTGGGGATACCTCACTGCAGCCTTTCAGTACGTGAAAGGAGCTTATAGATGGGAGGTGGGCTGATTTACACAGTCTGATAGTGACAGGACAAGGGGGAACGGTTTTAAACTGAAAGAAGGGAGACCTTTGTTAGATGTTAAGAGGAAATCGTTTAGAGGGTAGGAGGCCACGTATCTGGAGGCACTCAAGGCCAGGTTGGATGGGGTCCTGGGCACATGGCAACCAATCCACAGCAGGTAGGTTGGAACTAGATGAACTTGAAGACCCCTTCCAACTCACACCATTCAATGACTCCATGATTCTACTTGTTGAAGTAGTTCTATCATCTCCAGCACTAGAAACCAAGAAGATCTTTAGTAAACTGTGATGCTGTGTGGCTGAGTGGTACCGATTCCACCAAATGCTCCAGCAGATGACTATTGAGAGTAGAACGCCGAAGGACATATCAAGCTTGTTCTAACAGAAGAGGCAGCAAAAGCAGGCTTATTTCCATGGAAAATCTACATGGAAAAGCCTTCAGATATAGTTGATGCAATAACCATTTTGCGGGGAAAAAAAAGTAGTGGGGCAAGAGATAATACAAGACTTACAAAAGAGAAAGTCATGGTAACTCAATCTGATTAAGGTATTTTCTCTGAGTGAAGTTAAGGGGTGTTTGCGTGTGTGTTAAAAGAATCTGTAAGATAAATGATGGAGATCTGATTAATAGAAGGAGAGTTCTGTCACCTGCTTACTGGGACAATTTTGTAGGTGAGTGAAATTAAAGCAGGGAACGTTTCAAGTGTGTACTTAGAAAGTATATAAAATGCTATTTCTTCCTCACCTCATAGCAGTGAGGGTGACAGGCTACAGTAGAATCAGTGTATAGACCATCAGGTGATTGCTCTGAAATTAAAGGTTGTCAGAAAATATAACTAGATGTAACAGAAATCCTGAAAGCAGAGATTTAAAGGCTCTTTGTGCATGCTTTCTATATACTTGGAACTTTATTGAAGAAGCTATTCTAAGTGCAAGAATACTGTTCACAGCATAAGCTGTCTTCAGTTTCAACAGAGATGACATTTGGGAGTTCACTCATCTGAAAACAGCCACAATTTCTCAACTCTGTTCACATACTCCTTTCTTAGCATCTGGAAATAACAACCAAATCATTTTGTTTGGTGTAATTTAATTGCCATAGCAACCAGAAGACTACTACAAATTTACAGACAAAGAAAAAAAGCTTTAGGAATGTGGAATGGCAAGTAATCAATAGGTGTGACCCTTGGTGCCTTCCTGCAGTTAGCAACACAAGGTGTGTGCCTGGCTCATATGCAAGTGTTTACTCTCTGTCTGACCTTTTTTTTCTTTTTTTGGAGATCTTAATCTGCAAAGTTTAACTAAGCTTAAGAAAACAGACACACGATTATACCGAGATGCTACACATCACAACAGAGAAGTGAAGATGCTTCTTTTCTGCCAACTCCACTGTAGGAATAACAACATGTTAATTCCTAACATGTGCTAAGGGAATACAACTCAAAAGTGTTATTTCACATTAACCTAATAATTTTCATTAAGCCACAGGAGGCAGTGGTTTGATTTTAAAAGTGTTGTGCAACTACTACTTATAATCCAATTACTGCTGATACTACTCCCCAGTTGGCAATCAGTGTTTTTTGAAGTTCATATTTGCTCTGTTATTTGTGGTTTATGCTCTGTAATCATCCACAGAAGTTGTCAATTAGCTTAATTCCTCTTCTCTTGTTGCAGCATTAGCTCAATGTGATTCTTGAAAAGGGAATGATTTGCATCAGTGTAAAAAAGGGGTTGTTCTTCCACTTATAAGTATTTACACTAATGAATCAACAGCACACTCAGCAGTCTTAAACTTGTGCAACTCCCTCATGCAGGCTAGAAGTATTTAAACCCAAAGCAAACACTTGTTGACTCTACAGTAACAGGTGGATAGCAGGCTTAAATGTATTTTAATACAGCGTTAAGCAGCACGATCACTGCTGCCCATAAAAGTAGGGTAATATAGATTTTTGATAAATGCACTCCGCTCTAAAATAATTATTAAAAATTTCAGCCTGACCTGATACCAAATTCTTTGCCTCCCAATTTTTCTGTCACTATTTAAATCCTTTTAGTCTTCACCCCAGTAACACTGGGATTCAAAGTAATCCCAATGAAACGTCCCTTGAGGAATGTATGCAGGGGGATGGAAGCAAGACTCACTTCTTTTGCCTATGTTAAAATTCCTTTCTATCTGCAGTCTGAAAAAATGGTAGTAGAGGTTACACTGAATTGCACTGACATCTCTACTCATGCAATCCATCTTGCCCTGTGCAGATCACAGTAGTCACAAATGCCTCCAGCCCAGCATCTTCACTGCAAAAGCTGTGTGAAGTGCATCGGCCTTTTCTGGAAAATGGAAGCTCTTCCAAGTAAGAAATGCAAGAGATCAGATCTTTGATCTGGAATATGCAACTGCCACCATTAGTTGGGTTCAGACTGACATCTGAATAAAACAAAGCTGTTTCCTCTGTAAGAAAAAAAAGAGTATAAATTCAATAAATCCTCCACACTCCTGTTGCTGTTACCTAAAAGACTGAGTACTGAGAATTAAGCAACTTTGGGAATTAATTTTAACATTCAAAAATTACTTCCCTGCTAGTGCTTGAATATATAACTTTTCTTTATTACCAAAAATACTGGCAACGTGAACTCCTAATGCAGGAATACCTTCTACTCTAATTGAAAGGAATGCACACTAATCTACCATCAAAAGCCTTCCACATCCAGTGAACAGTACAGGCTACAGGTCTGTGAAATTTGTTCTGTGTTTTATATAAACCAGAATTTTCCTTTTTATCACTAAATAGGTCAAACGATGATTGGGTGACTGTCCAAAGTTCAGGTCTTGGCCAGCCCTGAAGCTATTAGTAACAAGTCAGTGCTTCTCCAGAAGAAAAATACAAACAAGCCAGGTCTCATGATCTGTGAAATTGTGCAATTCTTTCAATTTTATTCCTTCTTTTGTGTCTTGCTTTAGTGGGACGATATTTTTTTTAAATATTATCAGCATTGGCTTAATTTTTGTCCTGCTGAAATAGGGAATGGAAAAGGAATGTGTCATTGTCAGAGGTGATGGAAGGCAGTGGAATTCATCTGTGATTTTACTGCAGAAGAACAGGCAAGAGTTCTAGGGGTTAAACTACAAAGTACGCTTAATAGTGCTGTTAGAATTTAAAATCCAAGATGAGCAGTAAGCAAATCTCTGAAATGGTTTTAAATGCTGCAACACAGAGTTGGTGAAACAAAATGACTGTTTGGCTGAAAACACCACCTGGATGAGAGCAAATGGAAATGGCAAAAAAATAGAGGTAGATAAACTGTTAAGTGACTTTGTTCTGGCACTCAGCATCTACACCCCACTGAACAATTCAGAACTCCAGGTTGAAGAAATGCTAAACTACAAATCTGTAAACCATGTATTTTAAAGAAAATGGCAGAAAATGAAACTGATCCAACTCTCTATGCTTTGTGACTCATTCAGTTGAAAACAAAAGCTAGCTTAGGCACTAGATTTGATTGTGAACTGATCGAATACTACTATACTGAACTTGCAG